TTCCATTTTTGGCATCACTTCAGTTAGTATACCACCACACATCGCGAGATTAAGAAAATGAGCCGGCTACACAAGCGTCAACGACTTGAACCCTTCCTTTAGGACAGTGTGGACCTTGCCCTCACAAATAAAGCATTCGACTGGCATAGAAGAATCAGACAATTGAGCCCCAAATGTCCGTTTCGTAGGGCTCAACTCTATGATGACAAGGGTCATCCACTCCCACCAGGCTAGGAACTTACGAAAATTATTGAATATTTTGGCGTTTTATTTAGTGATTCAGATCTGATCCCACCATCGACCCGCACTGCAGGCACTGCCATTCACTGAGTCTGAATTGCTTGATGGTTTTTATAAACTACCGGCTACTAAAGCCCTGGCACCCAACGGATTCCCTGCCATTGTTTGGAAAGCCATTGCCCATGACTTGACTCCTATCCTGTACAAGTCCCTTTATGACCATTATTGCAGGCAGAATCCATTGCCACCTGAACACTGGTCCGCAGGGTGGCTTCATCTCCTGGCTAAACCAGGAAAGGCTTGTAACAGACCTGAAGCCCTTCGGCCAATCTGTCTTCAACACCCAGTGAGTAAGGTGGTATCAGGTATTCTCACCCAAAGGGTCATGGATTCAGCTTATCCACAACTTAGACAATTGCCATTGTATGCCTATTTGCCTGGACGCAGTACGGCCGACTGTTTACTCCTGACTTCAGCTCACTGTCGAGCTGTTCGTGAGGCATGCCAGCAGACCAGACAAAATCTGGATCGTCACAATTTGATTGGTGGTTTGCAGGTTTCATTGGACATGGAAAAGGCATTTGACACAATCAGCCGCAATGTTGTTGACGGAGCCCTAGCTATATTGTCCCTGCACCCTGACGTCCTCACCATGATTCATGCCTGGCTTGCGCCCAATCAATACTACATTCCTTTTAAAGACCTGGTTGGCCATTTAATCACCACCCGAGGCATTCAACAGGGCTCGAAAGCAGCCCCCTTATTATGGTCCCTGTATATGCATTTGCTGATGGTTGACCTATTGGCACGATACTCCCACACATGGCTCCATGAACACTTGATTGTCTTTGCGGATGATGTTCATCTCCGCTGGATCATTCGAAATCACGAGGATAGCCTCCAGGCCTTGACGGACCTGTCTTTTGTTTTGACCTTAATGAAATCCTACGGTCTTCGTATTAATGTTCAGAAGAGCGTGGCGTTGTGCCGTATCATTGGTCGATCCGCGCCTGCATTTTTGCGCAAATGGACTGTGCGCTCCAAAGAGGGGCCACGATTGACCATTCCTGATCTGGATTGGAAACTTCCGCTTGTATCCAAAACAGCGTACTTGGGTGTCGTGATCAGTTATCGAGCCTGGGAAATGGACACCACAAAACGTCGGATTGCAGCAATTCAGCATTGTTTTCATGTTTTAAGACGATGGTTCACAGATACCACCATTCCTAAGCCATTGAAATTTCGCCTGTACAAACAATGCATTTTACTAACACTGCAGTACAGCATTTTTGAAATGGGTGTCACACAACAAGGTTTTAAACAACTTATCAGTGTTATCAATATCCACCTTCGTCGCATGATTCGAGAGCCAATACACGTTACTCACGAGTCAACCCATGACTGCTTTCATCGACATGGACTTGACCCTCCATGGATCATTTTGCAAAACACATTTGCTCGTCTTAACACGGCATTGCATTCACGTCGCAACACCTTGAGCGGGGATATGGCCAACCAGAACCATGACATCTGTGCCTGTGCGTTAACCCCAGATTATCCAGATCAAGAACTCATCCCTCCCACCGACCCGCAACTGCAGATCACACCGGACAGCACATTGAAGTGCCCTGAGTGCCTTCGTTGCTTTCAGCAGGCGGGTTCCTTGAAACGTCATTTAAGACAACAACCTGGATATGCCTGTTTGATGGAAGATATATTTAATTGTCTACGTGATGCTCATGATGGCACCAGTACTTGTTCACATTGTCATCACCACGTTGCCAACATGCGTACATTACGTGAACATATCAATTCCTTCTCCTGTTCATGCTTCCGTGCAACCAAGGGCGCCGTGATTCCGATTGCTGCAAGACCAGAGCTCAGAATGCACCTACGACATCGATCGTACCAAGGCCTTATCCTTGATCAGAATCTAACTGTTGAGCTTGCCAATAGATGTGCCTACTGCAACCAACAGATTGGCCCTAGAGCTATTGCCAAACACTATAGTGACCAACACCCCGACTTGATGCAATACTCCACGGTGCACAAAGACCGTGTTCGTTGGGCGGCCAACTTCGGTTCCCGGAAAAATACATGTCCATTGCGCCGCACTCAAACTCAGAAATTTGAATCCCATGCTTGTGGAGCGCTCTTTCAATTGACCATCATGGCTGGATAAACGATGCAGCCCGAGCACTATCCGATCATGCCTGTGAATAAACGTCCCTGGACCATGGCCTTTTCGGAACAAACCAATGTCAACCATCCTGATTTGTCCGCCCGACCGAAGCCACCACCGCCGTTCAACTCCGATGCACAGGTGACACCTGCTGAGGTCAGCATGGATCGAAAGCCGGCGTGTTTGCACAAATGTCCAGTCTGTCATGTCACCTTTTTGACGGCCCATGGACTCCAACATCATGTACTACATGCCCATGAGTCGGGTACCATCGACCCTTCTGCATCGTCCTCACAGGTGATGCCTGCTGGCACCGTTTTACAAAATTCATAAATTATTATAGAATGATAATTATAATTTAACAATACTTATATATATATATATTGTCTTTAATGGTTAAAAAAATATATATTTAGAATAGAAATAATATACATTTATTATTTGTAAATCAAATTAATTAACTATAAGAATATTCAATACTATAAAAAATATTCTTAAAAATCAATAAAATATTAAATATAAATCAACCAAAATGTTACGAAATTTGTATTTCGAGGTTTATAAAGTATTATGGTTGCGACGAAATCTGCATTTCGAGGTGTATTAGGCGTGGTGGTTGCTACGAAATTTGCATTTCGAGGTTCATTAAATGTTGTGTATATTACGAAATTTGTATTTCGAGATTCAAAAATATTGTGCCTGCGACGAAATCTGCATTTCGAGGTGTATTAGGCGTGATGGTTGCTACGAAATTTGCATTTCGAGGTTCATTAAATGTTGTGCTTGCAATCTGTACTTCGAGGTTTACTAAGCGTTACACTTGCCACGAAATTTGCATTTTATGTGCCACAAAATTTGCATTTCGAGATTTATTAAGTACGGTGCTTGTTGCGAACTTTGAGGTGCACCAAGTGCTGCGCTTGCCATGAAATCTACATTTCGAGATTCAGCAAGTATTGTGCTTACCACGAAATCTGCACTTCGAGCTTCACCAAGTGCTGCCTTTGCCACGAAATCTGCACTTCGAGGTTCTCCAAGTGTTGCGCTTACCACGAAATCTACAAACGAGCCACATGTCCAAAAATCACGATTCATTACACCTGTCATGAAATCTAAGCTCCTCGACGATCACCTACCACATCCAAAATGCTACACCTGCCACGAAAATTGCATTTCGAAATAAAACAATTCCGATCCCTTGTACCTATTACGAAAAGTTGATTTTAAAGCACCAAAACACGAGGTTTTCCTTGTGCCTGCCACGAAAAGCGACCACCATATTCCGAAATGGGTACGACACCATAACGAGAGCGTAATTACCTAATGCATCTATTACGAAAACCCAGATTCAACGAGCCTACGCAATCGAAATGCAAATAAATAATATCGAGAATATATTGTAAACAGCAACGAATTAGCAGGTCACGCCCGCGCAAAATAACGATCTAAACATATCTTCCTTTCGTCTACCGTAAAAACCCACCTCTAAACATATCTTCCTTTCGTCTACCGTAAAAACCCACCCCTCAATACATCCATATTATTTAGAAAATAATAATAATAAATAAAATTATATATACGTAATATATATACATTATTTCTTTAATAAATATTTTAAAAACATTTAAATAAAAGTAAAAAATAATAAAATATTTAAATTCAAGTTAAATATATACGAAGCACGATCAAAATTCCTTATTCTTCTTCAACTAAAAAATAAATATCATCGGTTTTGAGGTGGACCTTATCGTTTTATAGTGTTTTAAATTCATCGTATATTTATGACCATATATAACGTTAGGGGTTTTGAGGTAAACCTTATTATTTTGCAGGATTTTATATATAAACCTATCCCTCTTTACTAAAGTAATCTTCATATATTATAACCATAATTTATATAAACAAATATTAAAATAACAATAATTAAAATGCAAATTCGCAAATTAAATTTAATTTATTATAAATTATATTTCTTATTAATGTTTTCTTTTAATAACGTAAATTAGTCGATAATTTAGAAGAATTTATATAAATTTTTATTATCGTCGAACACGATAATAAAAATCATCGAAAAAAAAATATAAAGATTTCTAATATATAATAATCGTCGAATATCAATATAAGGGTAGTTAAAGTATATTTATTATCGAAAACGACGATAAAGGTTTTTAAATCTTAAATAATATAATTATCGTCGAAGACGAAGATAGAAATATTTTTATAATATATATTAATGCGGTCGAAAGCGAAGAAAGAAATTATTAAACATATATAATTTAAACATAAATTTATGGGAAATGATTTAAGAATAATTATATAATCATCATATTGCGTTGCGTGTTCAATGATATTGTTCTTTGATGTTCTTTGTGTACATAGTGTCAAGGAATATTTTTTCCGCGGGATGCACAGACTTGTTCCACAGGAGTATCAATCGATCGGTTGAGGTTTCATGGCTGGAAAAAGGATTACTTCTTTGATGTTGTTCTTGTCCGCCAAGAGCATCACCTACACAGCAGGCGTGTAGGCGATGAAACATTCATCCAGCGCAAAGCACGGCCCAATCTTCAAACAGGGTCTCCAAATTGGGGCAACATGCCAGCTGAGGGGTCTCCCACAGGAGACTCAAGATCCCATGCATCTCTGCAAAGACTGGTGCCCTAAAGTCAAGGTCTCGGAACCCTCAATGAGGTCACTTTGCAGCCAGTGGGCTAAGCGGTCGATGCCGCAGCCACAGCCACCAGTTGGTGGCAGCCCATGCTCCAAAGCGGTGACAAAGCCTTCATCCACAGTCTGCGCTTCCTGCGGAACTTATTTTTGGGGGATGTGGGTGAACACTGAGCGGCTCATCGTTTTGAATCATGCTCACTGGTGGCTACTACAGTACATATTGTAAAAACAAAATCGGCCCACTTGTTCGGTGGACGTGAATGTGCCCCACAAAGATTGTGACTTCGGCCGTACATGAGGGTCTTTTCAGCCTTTCTCACAAAGCTCACAAACAGGAAGCCTTCAATTGGAACATGTTCACACAAGGCTGGCCCTGAGAGAATTGTATAAGCCAGGAATAGTCATGAATAGTCAGCGTGCTCGGACCCACTTCACTCGCACAGCTTGTCTGCATCAGCATGCGGCGCCTCATCGCCTTGGCTCTTGGCCAACGCTTGCTCCTGCAAAGTTCATTCGTTCACCTTGCTTCAACTGCATCCATGGGCATGTCTTCAGGCCTGGAAACATGCCAGCTGCTTCTCCGGGTCATTAAGCTCTGTGTATGCATTGCAAAGTTCCTGTCCAACTCGAAAAGTCCATCAAACACTGCCCGAGAGTCTTCAAAACATACAACAAAAATGGCCACCGGGCCACCAACAAATGCGCCATGTAGTCATAAAGTCTGAAAGTGTTCTTTGGCATCAAATGTGCCACAAATAATCTGAAAACATGTTATTCCGAGCTGTCCACAGTGCCTGACACATGTACGGGCCAACAAATCCCAAGCCTGCCTTGCCCATCACGAACATCTCGAAGCGCTCTGTGAGGCCTTCCTTGCTGCGGTGCCATTTGGCCAGTGGGCTCATCACCTGCAATTTCTAGCTGCGGAATCTCCTAGACAGAGGTCTTAGTGAGTTAGTGTCGCTGCAACTTCATGAAAGGCTATGGTCAGTCCACAGTTCTGGCTTTATTATCTCACTGATCGAATTTCAATATTCAACATGCGGAAGATCCACCCAGCATCCTGCATTGCAGGTGCTGCCCAAGCAACTTCACAACCGCTCGAAGTGTGGAGAAAAGCCGCACAACAAGCAAGCGGACCTGAGGATGCTCAGTGATGAAGGTAGGGTTCACAATGCGGTCTTCAATGAAATGCCCGCAAAGCCTGAAGCTGCAAAAACTGCAAAGAATATCGAGCTTCCAGTTAGAACCATTCACTTGCTTCGCACCGAACCACTTCAGAACCTGATTTATCAAAGACCTCGCCAAGCAGCTTGTCCAGAAGGCGAGGAGCAGTCCTTGGAGGAGGGCACTCAAGCTTCAGAGATTTCACCAGATCGTCCAGCACCTTCACCAAAAAAAAGGGAATCAAGCGATGACAATGTTCCATACACGCCAACATCAACACCCCTTGCAATCCTCGCCTCACGAGCAGAGTCCGCTTCAAAACTCCGTGGCAGAGCTTTGCCAGTCTGCTTCTCTATCCTGATGCAGGGTTTTCAGTTTTCCGAGAATCGCCAACCAATGAACCACACAACAGTATTGGCCGCTAGCATCTCCCGACCATTGGATGCAAGAATTTGACCGTTTCCTGTGATTCCCTGCAACAGTTATGTAACTATACACATATACACATGAGGAAGGGGAGAAAGTCACGGAACTGCGCATGGATAGGGATAGGAATAGGGATGGGGGGGGCGAGAGAGAGAGAGAGAGAAATGGCTCAAGATTTTGGCTCAAGCTTTGCAGTATTTTGCAGTGCTTGAGACTGACTTCTTCCAGTGACTGGCACTCTGCTAGTTATCGTGCACCTGAAGATTGTGGAGATCTCATCATCCAGGACATTGAGACCGGCGGCCGTACCTTTGCTAGTTATTTTCGCCGCACCTTTGACCTGGTGGTGCTCCATGGTTTCAGAGGCATGGGATGGCTTCAACAAGGTTCGATGGGATGGCTTCAACAAGGTTCAGGTTCGAAGCTCCAGGTCCCACCTCGTGTGTACTGGGTGTACATCATCATGGATCTGGCAGGACCGCATTTCCCATGTGGGATGTGACAAGTGTGGCGCCCGATGCCCATGTGATCAAGGCAGTGCATCAAGGAACTGGAGCAGGCCACTCAAGTCACCGAGGAAGAGGACGCGGACCAGGAAGGAGCGTGGACAGTTGATGGAGCTACCACCTGGCCTCCCCTTGCGCCAAGGCAGTTCAAATCAGGTGCAACAAATGCCGAAGAAGTTGAGCAAAAATGTCCAAGATGCTTTGAAGGCAGTTGGGCTGGACTTCACTCCAGAACCTGAGCTCGAACCGTTGGAGGAGATCCTCCGATCTACCCAACGAGGTGAAGGACGCTGTGGAGGGCCTGATGACTCCGCCAAACCTGGGCTTCGATGACCTGACTGGTCAACTCAAGGCCACAGTTGGAGAACTACGCCAACTCTCCACCAACAACCAGCAGTCTCTGCAGAGGAGAATTGACACCAAGGATCAGTGCAAGCTGCTGCTGGAGGAGATCAAACAAGTGCAGGAGGCAATAAACAGTTGGGAGAGCAGTCAGCTGAGTACGCCAAGATCTTGAAGGAAGAAGAGGTTCCCAAGCTCCCACCATTGAGACAGTCTTGGATACCAACACGGCTGCGCATGTGCTGAAAGCCCTTGGCCAAGCAGGGATCGTGCACAATACTGGCCAGCAAAAGGAACTGGAGCACCATCTGGCTGAGACCATGATGACGCGACGTAAGATGCTCGGAGAGGCCCCTAAGCAGGGGTAACATTACACAGACGGACCATGCTTGGGCAAAAAGGTGGAGCGGTCCTCATTCAGATGGGTAGAGCTCAAACACTTGGGAGTGTTTCAGTGTTTGGAGAACGAGTGATGTCATTCCTGCGGCCTGGGGAAAGGCTAGGTGTCAGGATTGGGAACAATGGCATGCGGCATGAGCAAGCTTTGTACAGGGGAGGCATGTCGAACTGTTTGATTTTGTCAATCGAGTATGGTTTCAAGGCTCGCAGCCGTATGTTGATGGAGAATGTCAACCCTATCCATCACATGAAAATTGGGGGCACTGTGAAATTGCATTAAGGATTGATGCAGATTTTGCCACTTTTGTACCGGCCCTAATGGCGGATAGAGCTGCTCATGGCACTTGGACTGGCTGACGCAGGCAAAGAAAGGGCAAGGGTCTCAAAGGCCTCTATCGCACCTTGCTGTATCAGGACGTCAGCTTCGAGAGACTCTTCCGTGACAGCCGCAGGACCGGCAAAGAAAACGAGAGGAACAGTGGTTCAACAAGTGGGTCACCACCACACAGCCTGTCAGTGGCTCGAGAAGGGAGCACCTAAGGCTCTAACGTTTGAAGCTCGTGCGCAAGCTGACATAGATCTGCATATGGTGTGGGAGAAGCTCCAAAAGTGTCCACAGAAAGCAGGAGCCCCTGATGGATCCTCCTATGCCATGCCGCGCAGCCTGCCCTATGAAGCAATTGAGGAGCTCACCAAGATGATGAGAAAATGGGAGTTGGATGGTGTGCTCCCCGAGCAGGTCAAGACGACCTTGGCCATCCTGCTGACAAAGAAGCCTGCGGTGGAACGCTGGATTTCCTTCACTTCGGTGCTCTACAGGGCGTGGTTCAACGTGAGGTGGGCTGAAATCCTGCGTAATCCAAGTGGCCCTCATGAGGTTGCTCAGGGCGGAAGTGGCCCGGAAGTGGGCAGATCCACTGGCCAGCATACGGTGTCTCTCCTGCTGGGTCTCCAGAACTTCTACGACAACGTGGACCTGGAGGCCTTGCTTGACCAGTGGGGGGGGCTCTTCAATTCCCTTCGGTGGTCATGAAGTCCATAATATGGTCATGGAGCGCTACACAGGGGTGCGACTCCTGCAAGATGAGGCGGCCCGTGTTGCAGGAGAACACATTGAATGGCTGTTGGAGAGGGCTGGCTAGGACGTTAGTGTCAACAAGACTGGCTATGGCTATTTTGCATCGACAGCTGAGGTCAGGTCAGAAGGTGCATCCTGCAGCGCCGCATGGACGATCACCCTCATGTGGAAGATCTGATGAAGGATTTGGGCTTAAACAGCAGTGGGGGCCAAACGCCGTCGTGTTGGGACAGTCCAGAAGAGAAGTCTCAAGGGCAAGACACGCTTCAACAAGATGCTCCAGCTCAAACTGTCAAGCCGGCCGGTGAAAGCTCGTCTGTGGAAGGGCTCGGTGCATAGTGCGGTGGCCTACGGCAATGAAGCACAAGGATTGGCACCTCAGCAACTGAAGCAGCTCAGACTGCAACTGGCCAGATGTGCAGGGCTCCAGCATGCGGGATCGCTTGATGCCCTGCGTGACCAACATGAAGACCTTGTTGATCCTGAGCTACATGCCTTCCACAACCTGCTGGTGCAGGCATGGACAGCCACTTGGAGGAGGCTTTCCACAGCAGTGCACCACTGGCAAGTGGTGGCGGGTCCTATGGCTGCACTCCAAGCCTATTTCCGTGACTTGGGATGGGACTGCCAAGACATGTATGAATGGACAAGGCCCAGCAATCAAGTGCTCCCCTCTGCAGTGCTCTATCTGAAACATGCCTGGCCGGTGCTGTCCAGAGCTTTGAAACGTGAGATGCGCTTGCAGAGGGTGAACAAGATCCACCAACAGCTCTTCTGTGATGAGATCTCTGGTCAGCTGGACTGGTCCATCTACAAGCAGTGTCTGAAGACCATGGCCCAGGGAGAGCAAACGGCCCTCAAAGCGTGGACAAAAGGGTCCCTTCGAACCCATACTCAAGGTCAACAAGTGAGATGCCCACTGTGATGAGCCTTTGACATCTGTCCATTTGATTTGGAGGTGCAAGTTCTTTGAGGGGAAAGATGAGGACCTCCCACCGGAATGGAAGCTGCAAATTGATGCTGGAACTCCTTGCAATTGTGGGCCAGGGGGATCATTCAAATGCCAAAGATCACCACTCGTGAAGGAAGTGACTCCTTTCGGTGTGAAGGGCTACTGAAGAAGGGTGGCCATTGAGCCAACTGAGGTACGTGCTTGGGTCACTGGCTGCTGGATCTTGTTGAAGGCCTTCATGGAAGTAATCAAGGGGAACATCCCCAATTGGGCAGACTTTGGCCAAACGAGGGATGCTGTAGCTGATCTATGGCACAACCTGGGCGCAGAAGAATGGCACAGGCTTTGCGTGCGTACACATGAATGCTTATGCCCTGAAGTCGCCTAAATGAAAAACTTCCTGAGTAATTGAACCAGGGCCATCTAGACATGGAAAGGCCTCAAGTCGGCAACAATATGGTTTATCCGCATGGACCACCATGGAACCAAAGCGGAAACGCTGTGTTCACCAGGCACATTTCCACGAATCTTTATGAGCATCTTCGTTGGCGCAGGACTCATCAACACACCTGCGCCCCCCTGCAAACTCTTGCATTGCCCATGACCCCAGGGCGTACACACACACATCCAAATTTAGATTGTGAGAATATAGCCAGGGGCCACCAAGCAATCCAAACAACATCGCAGTCTTGCATGTTATCATGTTGGAAAGCTGGAACATAAACTTACTTCGTGCTGCTAGAGGTCTCTTCGACCATGGAGACTCGTGGCCAAGGAGGCGTGAAGTCGATTTCGACCTGCAAAGCAACGACACTGGATCCACAACTTTGACTTCACTGATCCACCAGCTACGGAAAGTCATTTATACAGCCGATTTCCACAAAAAAACAAAGGATTCCAACAACTTCAACCGAGACAAGTGGCTGCATCCTTGTCGGGTCCATGAGGATGATACTGGATCCTTAGCTCCTGGCCCAATTCCCACAGCAGGTGAACCTCCTCCACCACTTGCAACGCCGCTGCCACTGCCACTGTAACATACTGTAACCATCTCAACTGTGAGCAGGATTGTGCTGATCAAGCCACACATAGCCGCCAGTGAGGTCCAAGACCATACTGCTTATCAGTTCCTCATAACTCACACAGTAACAGTAACATTTCGGCCATTAAGGCCTGTGGGCATGAAACACATGTCCCAAAGCCAATTCTCCTCCGTGATGTTCATCATCTGCTCATAGTCTGCGTATGCCATGTAAAATTCGCACGTTGTAAACCTCACCACTCCGGTGAAACTTGACAGTTCATGAGAGGTTTCAGAACCGAAATCCAACAAAAAGCTCAACCAACCTGCCACATCCGTGCGCGGCACCTGCGATGACTACAAAAGTGCATATTCAAAATAATCTCGGAGCTCAAAACATTGTGTAGGTCATACCGCGCACCCGGCAGCTTCACACCCAAACCAAACCTGTCAAGGAACTCTGGGTTGTGAGTCAGATCGATGCCCTCATTGCGAAAGTTGCGGCCGATCTCAAACACGCGGTCAAGACCACCGATGACTAGCCTGTGATTTCACTGATGGCGCTGCGAGTCGGACAAAGAAAAGAACACGGAACCGCGACATAAACAGCAACACTCGCCTTCAACCTGCAATGCTTGAATTGCTAATGCCAAAACAAACTGTCGTTTGGAGAAGTTCAAGGGAAGATTGAATCGATTTCATTCAAGGTTCATCTTCAAGTAAAGCTCCGGTGCAATTCGCATATACCTCAGCTATAGTTATTGGAAATTGGAACAAAGTTCAAGTTTTGTTAGAACTGATTCGACTTGGCCAAGTTGCAGGTCCATATCTAATTCATTGTGTTTGGTGATGAAAGGCTTGGCAGAAGCCCCGCCTGCAATTGTATTCCTCAGCAGCAAGTTCATCGATTTCCTCATGTTGGCTGCCCACACACGTATGATAGTATTATGACTATATATATATTATATGTGTGTATCTTTCTCATTATCGAAAGCTTTGAACCCCTGTATAGTGAGTACAGGTGGACGCAACGGGGTCGCGATGGCATCTTGACTCGAGGGCAACCGGGCTTGGACTTTGCGGAAAGGCCACCAGTCCTTTCACGGAGCCCCTGGACAGGGGCTGCTGCGAGGGACAAATGGCATCAGACGGAAAAAAGGAGGGGCTGACCAAGCGGTTCGATGGCGAGGGCACCAACCCGTCCAAGGACTATGACTATGAGCGGTCGCGGCGCTGGTGCAGGGCCTACTTGACCATGCAAAAGGTCAAGGGAGTTTCATTGGAAGCGCATGGAAGCCTGGTGTTTGCACTCCCCGACGGTACTCCGGGCACTCGATGCTACTCCGATGGCCAAGATCAAGGAGGACGGCGGTGACGAGGTGATCTTTCAGGTGTTGGATGAACGGTGCCCAACAGAGGCCACCCATGACCGTCTTGGGAAGGTGCTGGATCAGATCTTTGACCTGAAGATAGAGAAGGGCGAGAGCACGGCCATCTACACCGGGCAGCCTTCGCTGTTTCAAAAGCGGACGGAGTAGTCCTTCCGGAGGTCGCCAGGGGTTGCCTGTTACTCAGGTTTGAACGACTTGAAGCCGAACGCAAAGCTGTGGTGATGGCAGCGGCCCGACAATCATACCTTGTTCCAGGCGGCGGGACAAAGAGGGACCCTACCACGTTGAAAATGAAGACATTCTGGAAGATGCCTTCGAGGTCTACCTTGCGGAGGCAGGGTACGCCCCGGACATTGAACTGGAAGAACAGGATGCTGTAGGTGTCCTCCTTACCTGGAAGCAAGCCAGGGTGGGCATCAATCAAACCAAGCTAGCAAAAGGATTTGGATCAGCTGGCACCTCGGGTCGGGACTTTAAGAAGCTTGAAAGCTGGGTGCGTTGCTTCCACAAGTTGGCCACTTCAGTCGGAATTGTCCATGAAAAGGCAAGGGCAGCTGTGGGAGGCCGGATCCAAACATCCCTCAAATCAACCAGGAACGAATGTGAACCTGGTGTTGATGACATGGTCGAATGATTACTTCAAACCAGAGATGACGATGAGCAATGGATACTATGCCACAACGCCAGAAGAGCATGCCGTTATGGTCACGACCTACCACACCAATCCTCACACTTGGTGAGAACCTTTATCAGGACAGGAGAACCACAAACAAAACCGAACCCTGTGAGTAGGAGATCGAGGTATCCCCGCTCGCTATTATGACCTTTGAATCCCGGCTCAAAGCAGCAGAAATTTTGATCGATGTGTTTCTCGTATTTGACTGCTTTGAACCCCTGTATAGGCTTGAGTACAGGTGGACGCAACGGGGTCGCGATGGCATCTTGACTTGTGCCCCAGTCAAAGAGGAACGCTCGGCGGTGCTAGGGTGACCGGGTTTGGACTTTGAGGAAAGGTCGCCAGTCCTTTCAAAAATAAGTATATATTATATAGTTCAAAATAGAATATAATATATATTTATATAAAATAAATACATATATATATATAATATAATGGCCGAGGAGACAACAAATAGCCAAGGTGCATCATGGGAGTTTCCACTTCCAGGAAGCCCCTTTCCTGGCAAAAGCAAATGACTCAGAATGACCCTGAACAACGAAGCCCGCTAAAGCATCAGCCGCCTGGAGGTAGCGTCGGATGAAATTTGTTACCGCAGATCGTAGCCGAAATGTTTTCCTCACATCTTCGTTGACCATCAAATCAAGATATCCTCACAAGCATTTTCCCAACAGGCAAGCTGGCGGGGAAGCGTATCAACTGGCATCCAACCTTTTTCCCCGATGGTGGCATTCGAGGAAGCAAGTTCCTCCGCACTTTAGTGGCCTGTCTCTCAGGTAGCCCATGGCACCCAATTATATACAAAGTACGCAGTTGGATTTGGGCATGCACGTGGGCACATGCAAATGCGTCTGCGGGGCGAGACGAAGATCATGTACGCAGGGAACACTTCATTCATTCTCAGGTCTCCTCCTGCGACTGCAACACATCAGGAATCAGGCCCCACAAGTCTGTGAAGCAATGGCTTTGGAGCATTGCATTCAAAACAGGTTTCCACCGCCATTATCCGCCATTGGGTGAAGGCAATGGGCTCTGAAATTTGATTAAACATATAGAGACAGAGAGAGAGAGAGAGTGAGGAAATGAAATGTGTGTAGCGCTACTGCAAGGATGGCGTTAGACGTCAAGGAAACAAAAATGAGAACGGGGAGGGGTAGTGAGCACTCTGGAGACCACCAACTTGAAGACACTCAAGTTCCCTGTGATATAGAGGAGCGCATCCTGCAAGAATGTCATGCGACAGAGTTAAACACAAGTGTCCTACACGAGCGTCCCACAAGTTAAGCTGTCCTCCAAAAGCAGCACCAAGGAAAGTTCTAAAAGAGTGCCCCACAAGAGTGCTGCTACACGGGCTGAGATATTCATGTGTATATACATAATTGAGTTGCATTCAGGTTGGTGGAGTCGTCAATCAGTTGAGTGTCTTTTCCCAGTTTTTGGAATGACAATCAGTGCGCATCCGTGTATGGATTCTCGATTTCAGCCCATCATTGCTGGCCACAGGAGAGTGGCAAGATTCACAAGGGTTCACCAGCGTTTTCGTTCCGGTGCCAGTCTTTGTTGGAACCTGCATGGGCATGTTTTGAGCTCTGGGAGTTCAATCAAGTTCTGGTGCATGCTGATGTCCACTTCTTCGATGATTCAATCAATGCTCCCAGTTTGGCCATCGCCCATGCGCTGCCCTTTACTTTACTTCCTAGCCATGTCCACAGTCCTTCAACCGAGTCTTCTGCACCAACTGTTGCATTCAGTTTCAACATCCAAGTGTATGTCTCTGTCAGCACGCCCTCCAAGCGCAAGTTCCCATCCCTGCCAGCAAAGCTATTTATAATTGGAAGAAGGCCTGGCTTTTGTTGATGCAGTTGCTGCAGCCTGTCACGTGCGCTGTTGTTGCACTCTGCATGTACGGGATCTGTCGGGCAATCACATGCACGTGCGCAAGCTGCAAAGCACGTGTGTTGCACTAACCGTATGTCAAAAACTTCATGCACACAAATCAAGCACCCTTTCTCCCCATGAAGCGCGGCCCATGGCACGTTTTCGGTATCTGGTCTCTTGGTCTTTGAGGCCTGCCAGTGGTGGGATCGATTTCAAAACTATATAGAAAATCCTATATTTCAAAGTCCTGCATTTTGGCCAAGAAATGTATACTATTCAATACGTACTATCCATATTTGCGATACAAGTGCAACTGCAGTGCTTGCACGTGTTCATGTGACATGAGGATTCCCCCCTCTCGCAAGGGTGTGCAAAGTGCCTGAGTATTCTTTTGGCAGCATGTGCAGGCAGGGCGACAGTAACTTTACTTCTCGAGGGAACACTGAAAGTTCTCCTCGCTTCGATTTGCCAACAACGCCACGGACACCAATGATGTCCTGGGCCAAAGATTCGGAAGAACAGGGCCGATATGGTCTGGTGGCTGTGACGCATCCCTCATGCGCCCGACCCGGGTTCAATCCTGACAGGTGAGCCACTACCCCACTCCTGCAGTTATATATTGTATATACAGTATACGGAGATGAGCTGGGGTGTGGACTGTGAAAACACAACAAATTCGGAAGAAACTGCAATTTCCATCTTACTTTTTCCCCTGCAACAGAAATGGGAATGTCCCGGACACGGTTTTCTGCCATGGAGCCCCGCGGTGGATGCTAGCATGCACCTCTTTGAAGTCATCTCCTTCATGCATTTGTGGACTGCACATCACCTGGCCAAAAGTGCGGCCAGCAAAGCACTGATGAGAGGGCACATCGCCATCACACTTATAAAAACAAATGTCAAAAACATTTGGCAATAAATGAAAGAAGGATGACCGCACTTGCCAGAACAAAAACTGCACCCACTCGCAGCCCAGCGCATGCAGAACATTCAGCCCCACGGATGCGCATCTTGCCTGAATTCTGTCTTCGCCCTCTGCCAGGTCGTAGAACTTGAGTTTTGCGCCGGATGAACGCAAGCTCTTCACTCGCCCAGCAATTCGCACTTCCACCTGCCCAACCGCACTCTGATACTGCAGTGCTGCTGGTTCATCGCCACGCCTCGTCTATACGGGCGCCATCTTCAAGGCTAGAATATTCAGCTATAAGGTTTGCCAGCGATGCGTTGACACCCCAAACATGGGGATATGCTTCAACACCAGCCTGGCAACAGTAGGTTTGCACGCCAAACATCGGCCAGCTGAAACAACCAACACCTGATTTCAACAACCTCGCCAAAATGTACACATTTTTGAACTGCACAACTGAAACATTACACGGATAAACTGCATCATCACCTTTTTCTATGGCACTAAGTTCAAGCGGCAGCCAACCTCTTTCAATTGCCTGATCCGATTTTCCCGGTACGCAGTTGGATCTATAACGGCCTTCCAGCATCAGAACTTGAATGCGTTTTTCAACCATTGCACCGTATATGCGGCTGTCTGACCGGCTGTCACCATGACATGCGCTCAATTGCAAGCAAGCCTCCTCAGTTTGTTTGGCTGCTTTGGCCAAAGGTATGTGAGCTGCTCGGCGTGCATCGGGCCCTGTGCAGCGAAAACACCGTCCGACATATTTAGTTCATGTGGTTAATCTTTGGCACCCCGACCTGTCCAAGGTTGCGCAGCAAGGCGTACAATGGGCGGACGAAAACTAAATAAAAGAGGCGGCCTGACAATGGTGCATTCACACTAACCGCCCTTTTCCAACGCCAAACAAAGTCCAAGTATTTGTTGGCCTGCACCGTTGCAATGCCACAAGCATGAACAAAACGGTGGCCACACCAGGTGTCCTGCATGTCCTACTTGCCAAAGTTCACAACCTTCCATTGATCATTTTGTTTGGTTAACGTCCTGCTGCCCATCTGTGCTGTCGGCCGCTGCGCTGTACAACAAGCTAGTGAGTGGACAAAAACGCTGCATGTTGCCCCGGCTGGGGGCCCAATGATTGAAAAATGCGCATGGTGAACACATGGCATGTCCGTAGGGGCCGCGTGTCATTTCAGTAGGGCACACCACTTTTACAACCATGCTGTTCCGTTGCCAGGCCCAACCACAGCAACTCATGAAGAGCACGGCTGCGGCCGGACCGATTCAGATTGTTGCATGTGGGAAACAGTGGGAAAACAGCCGGCCACCGCCAAAATAATGATGCGTCGCAATGCCATGCATATGTCTCATGTTTCACTGCCAGTGGTATGTTGTGACAACACGTAACACATGTCACAACATACACGTAACACATGCCAATTGGTATTGCCGGGCTGCTCGTGGCAGATGTTGCTGTAGAGAAACCGTGTCCCCAACATGCCGGCGAAACCGTCTTCGCTTGGGGCTGGGCAGCCGGCCGGTTCCCGTCCAAACTGTTTCATCAAAACTGCCCGCGAATGCGAAGGTTGCAACGGTAGAAATGGTTCGCCCGCCTTTGCTTTCTTTGCCGTTTTCGCTTCGATTGTCCGCATCGTGAACATACCTCAATAACCAAGCCTGACCAAGCACCACAACCACACATGTCACATGATTACAATACACACTCCATTAACAACTGCGGCTGCGAACCAGGCCAACACGCAAAAATGACGAACATGCAATCAATGATTCAAAACGAGCGTTTCAAGCCTTTGCACATTCCATCCAAGCAAAATACTCGTGTGTATTGTGAAGCGAAAAACTTTGTCCTGAAGGTTGCCAAGCAAACGGCACCTTGTCGTGTCATTCGCGCCGCTGTGCAAAACAATCGCCGGCCGCTGCGGAAACACATGGCAGGCCTCCTTGCCTCTTTTCCTTTTAGTTCGCAGCCGAAGCGCGGCCGGCCACGAGCTCCGTGGCAGGCTCAATGAAAACGAGATGAAAGCCGACACAGGAAAACTGGTTTTGTGCGGTGCGGTCCACCATCGTCACCGGACCACCGGCACATCATTCTTCACAGGGACGGGCACCCCGCGTGTCCAACACTAACAGGCAGCTCGGGCACCAAAGTCCATCAAAACACACACACATATCCCCCGCGGAGATGTGGGAACGAAAACCAAAACACCCGATGGCACAAGTCCACACGGAGCGAAGGTCCGGTGTCTTTACTATTTTTCTAAGGCTGATGACTGTTGGGGAACACAACTAATCAGGATGGTGGCGCGGCAGCCCAACAAGCAACTGCGACGCACTGCCTGACCAAACACAGAAATCCAATATATTACAATAATGGCAACACTGGTGATGTGATCACCCTCAACCCAGCATCCCAGCCTTGCCACATCCCAAAAGCACCTTCTCTAACAATACCGGGCGCACAGTCCTCAAAGCAAAAACATAAACAAACCAACTGCAAATTGCCAACAGCGCAGCACTTTTTGGGTATCCAGCTCCATTGAAGCGAAAAGCAACGAAGTTTCTCTGCTCGGAACTTGGCTTCTGCAGCCCAAAGACTGTACTGCTCCGTGCCGATGAGCCTTTCCCGCACGCAGTTGTTGATGTTCTTCCCGACATCAACAAAAATCGAACTCTGGGAATGAACATCGAACTCTGGGAACTCTAGAACTTTGCTCCTTGGATTATGACGGGCAAAGGACACACGACCAGTATTCACGCTGTACCTGCTGCAGTCTCTCGGAGTCTCTCGTCATTTATCGTCATCGTATCTAAGATTCCACATTTCTCTGAACCCCAATTTCCGAGACTGTGGATGTAAAATGAAGTAAGTAGCGCAGCTACAACTGGCAGCGTGCAAGGGAAGGTTTGCAGCTACAAGGGCGCACAACATCATGTTGTAAAGATCCCTGCAGACCACCACATTTTGTAGAAGATGTTGAAAAAAACTTCTATGGAAACGAACACTCACGAAACGACAATAACACTCAAAAGTGTACAGAAAGGGTACCCTGACCCCCTCTTTTTCCTTTATGTTTGCCCTGTACAAAAAGGGTACCCTGGCCTCCTCCTGTTTTTTAAATCAATCACCTGGATTATTTCATCATAACTGTTCACAGAGTTATACTATAACTCTACAAAATTGGGTTATGCACCTGTAAAAAAAGTGCCTTGTTACAAAAGAACCTTGTAAGGGCCTCAAGCTACCCCTTTCTGTAGAGGAAATTTCAACATCGGGGTTGGAATTATGTGGGTACCCCGGGGGTAGCGATTTTATAGCGCTAAAATGCTGGGACCAACCCCCCTCAAATCATGGTCACTTTTTGACCCTATAAAATTGAGGATAACATAGGAAAAGAGTCCAAAAACAAAGATTCAGCTCTATAGAATTGAGGGCCATTAGTCTGTCAAAAGCTGTGGAAAATGGTGGGTAAGATTTTTGATTGAGATTTCTGCATCCATATATGTGTATGATTGTGTATGTACAGTTGATCGTGTATAGGTGATCAGAGATTGAACCGCCCGGTTGAGGCGCTTTTCGATCAAGTGAAAACAGTCATGGCCTTCTTCGAGGAAAACCACTTCGCATGATACTGCAGATTAGTGAGCGCAACGGCTTTGAAGCCTGGCGCCAGTTGAGCCAGCTCTACAAGCCGAAGACAAAGAGTCGGTCAGCATTGATGAACCTCCCTCCTTTCACGAAAGACCGAACTTTGCTGGAACAGGTCTTAGGGCTTGAGCGCCTTCGAGATGAATACAGACGTTCAAGCGGTGCTGAAGTTCCAGATGACTTGATGCTGTCAGTCCTTGTGAAATGTCTTCCTGGACACATCCGCCAACACATCCAACTGCAGCTTACGGAGACGAGCACTTATGCTGAGACGAGACGAGCTGTTGTCGGCTATGAGTCCGTAACCGCTTCGTGGGCTCCTTCAAAGATTCACATGGAACTTGGCATTGTTGGCAGCAATAGTTCGAGTTCGAATGGACCAGCCCCCATGGAACTCGATCTTGTTTCAAAAGGCAGGAAAGAAAGGAAAATATAGGGACCCCATTGGAAAGGGTAAGGGTGGTAAGCCAAAGGGAGGCAAGGGTTTCCTAGGTAAAGGTAAAGGTTCCTGGCAGTCTCCATCTCCAAAAGGAAAGGAAGGCAAGGCTGGAAGTGCATCTTCGACCGGTGTTTGCGCCTTTACTGCGGAAAGAGCGGTCACTGGAAGCGAGATTGCTGGCTTTTGCATGGCAAAGGCGGTAAGAAGAGTGTGAACTCAGTGACTGCAGACGATAGTGCTTCCCAGGCTTCAGCCCCTTCAACCACTGCACCTTCGACCACCGCTGCTGCGCAATCTTCGCAGGCAGTTCGTTTGCTCTCCATTGAAGAGCTTGCAGACAACGAATTCAATGAGTACGAAGTGTTCGATTTGACGGTGTATGACACGTTCGAGGGATCGTGCAATGTAGTTTCACAGGCCATGACGGCCACAAATGTTGAAGACGCACCACAGTCGAGCACGCAATACATGAGTTGCAGAATTTTCGACATGACATATTCAGACAACGACTTAGAATGGACGTACACAGGACTAGAACCATGTTTTTCTGTTTGCACAGATTCTTCACACGAGTCACACGAACACGTTCGTGCAATCTGGTCTTCACCAGGTACACTGGTTGAAATTGTTCTGGACTCAGGAGCTGACGGAAGTGTGCTCCCTTCCTCGTTTGCACACGTAGGTGAATCAAATGTTGATAGTCGGCATTCGCAGTATGTAGATGCACAAGGTAAGCCCATTGGGGTTCATGACGTGCGGATTGCAGAGCTCCGGTTTGGATCAGTGGCATTTCGCGAGAGATTTGTCATTGCAAATGTCACTGTTCCCTTGATTTCGATGGGTAGGCTTTTGAAGGACGGCTGGACCGTCTGTAGCCAAGGTGACAGCACTTCGCTATCACTCCAGAAGGCCTCTCGTGAAATACCTTTGCATTTCAAGAACAACTCGCTTTGTGCGTATGGGCCGGGAAATCAGGATAGTCCAAGATATTCCTCGTTCGACTCATCTGAGTGGCTTGGAGCCTAAAGTCACAGCTAGCTTAGAGCATGCTGTTCACGTGCGGGTTTTAACCTTGGGTGCAACTCTTGCTGCATTACTACCAGGATGGAACCAAGTGAGCCAAACATGCCAAACTATTTTTGCCTTGAGGAATTTTTCAGCACAACATGTGGACACGACCCTCTGTCCTGCAGAAGGTTTGTGGCTTCGAACCACCTTGGTGAAGCTCATCGACGGAGAGTGGATTTTGGACGAGTTTGGTGAAAGCGTCAGTGATCCAGAATCTTTGACAACTCCAATTGTGGCCCCAAGAGCCATTGCGGAAGCCATCACTATTGCCCATGCTGAACTCTTGCCTCCAGAAGACCTTGGTTGACTTGAGTGCACCTCCCCGTCCTGCGGACGTCCCTGCTGCCCCAGGTGACGCAGAGGTTCCCGCTCACGAACGTGATGACAGCGCGGGCCCCAGAGAAGTCATTGTGAATGGACACCAACAGTCCTTTGCCGGTTCTTCGTGACGCTCGCCAGCACCTGGGACTCTCAACCAGAGGAAACAAGTTGACCTGCCTCCAGCGTATGTGGCAACACTTACAAGCACAAGAACTGATTTCTGCAAGTGCAGCTGAGCGCAACTTGAAGGATGAAACCCAACGCTCTGCAAATGCGCAACCTCAACCCAAGGCGCCAAGCGCTGAAGTAGTTGCAGAACATAATTTGACGCATTATCCATTTGCATCCTGGTGCGAATTCTGCGTTGGGGCACGTAGCAGGCAAGATGTGGTTTCTGCAGCGCCATTTGATACTACCTGGAGGCACAGGTTCAGCGTACACAAGTAATTCAGACGACGACCTCCTTTGGCATCAGTGGGAACACAGTGCATGGCACCGGTAAATTTGTCATGAATATGCAAGCCACAGAGTTTGCGATCAGCATCTGACTCGAGCCCTCCAGAGAACCCAAAGTCAAAAGAAACAACTGAGTGACCACTACGCGACTCTTCTCGAGACTCGCGCCAGGTTGAACAAAGTCTTGGAATTCCCAACACGGTGAGCTGCCAGCATCTCTTTTGCATGCAGGCTGGACGAGAAATCGTTTCGCAGTTCAACAAGGCCAAACGTCTTATGAGCGATGCTGTGACCGCATGTACACAGGTCGCATTTGCATGTACGGTGAAACAGTCCTTGGGTTTTTGAAGCCCCAGGTAAAGGGAAGTCCAAGGTGGTGCAAGGGCATTTGGCTAAGCAAGACCTTGAACAACGATGTCCATATTATTGGCGTTTGGGTGCTCAACTTGTTCTGGCCAAAAGAATTGTTCCTCCAACTCCTTTTCCTGCCATCAGTGTGAGGGACCCCGGTCGGCCACCGCCACGCGATCTAGATGCTGAGGCTGTCATGAATGTTCCTCTAACTCCAGATAGTCCCCGCCAGGTCCTGCGCCGGGAAACCCAGCAGGATACCCAGTTCCAAAAGGTGCACCCGTGACACCACCACTTGTTGTTCCTGATGACGTGCCTCGACCTGAAGCCCCTGATGTAGAAATGCCGGCTCAGGCGGGGCAGCGACCGCCTATGATGCCTCCACCAGCTTCTGCTGTCATGGTGCCTCGAATGATGCCTCCACCAGCTTCTGCAGTCATACTGCCTTGAGCTTCTTCAGGAACACGTGAGCGCGACGCTTCAGTCTTGGAAACAGAACCTCCTAGCAAAGCGCCGCGCGTGCCCCCAAGCAAAGCACCACGGCTGTTCCAAGTTCGAAATGTTCTAGAGCATGAGGACGAAGTAGTTTCCTTTGAGTTTGAAAATGAAGAAACTGAACTTTTGGAAGAGTACGAATATGAATTGCAAGAAAATGTCGAAGTGCTAGCTGATGCAGAAAAGGAAGTGCTCTCGTCGAGCAAGGTTGAAGCAGCCTTGGACCAGTTGTGTGTGCCATATACTCCGTTGGAGCCCGAGCTTGATGAACCTTCCCTCTTGGCATGGGACGCACTGGCAGGCAAGGTTGAAATGGCACGTCTGAAAGGTCTTGGAGTGCTTCTGCCTCTTTTTGAGTTCGATACCTCAGTGACCCCAAAGGCTCTGACCACTCGTTTTGTCAGAGCATGGAGGGATAAAAAGAGGAATGGTGTGCATGTGTGGTTGCGTCGTTCGCGCTATGTGGCACGTGAGTATGCTTGGCTGACTCCAGAGCGTGAAGATTTGATTTCGCCTGCGTCAAGTTCACTGACCACTCGTTTGTTGCCAATCGTGTTTTTGAAGCTTCGTTTGCAAGGGTTTGTTCTAGCGGCAATAGATGTGGCAAATGCTTTCCTGACCGTTGAGCAGAAAATACCCACTGTTGTAACTTGTTCAACCCCAGCAGGCACATCAGAACAATTTGTGCTGGGTAAAGTCCCCTCTGGTCAACGCGATGGGAGACAACTCTGGTATGAGAGCATCACCGCAATTCTTGACCGCGAGGACATTTTGTGTTTTGTGCACGAAAAGTTTCTGTCAGACAAGTTGATGCCAGTGTTTGAGGGCCACTACAAAGTGGCTATTGAGGTTATGAGGAATGTTGGTGATGAACTGTGTTTTTTGAAGAAGAACCACATTTTGCAGTCAGAAACCGAAATTCTGATACAGAATCATCCCAAACATTTGAACCGTTTGTTTGAGCTGCTACAGGTAAAACCTAAGAACGTCCTTGGACATGCAATGTTGGAAGAAGCAGATGAGTCTGCGGCGTTGGACGCCGCCTCAGCAAAGAGCTCTCGTTCTGCAGTCGGTATTTTCCTGTATATTTCTGTTGACTTTGTGGAATGCCAACATGTGATCCGCCTGTTAGCGCAACACATGAACAAACCTAGTGAGCTGAACATGCTTTTCCTTCGACACCTTGTTCAATGCCTTTTAGGTTGCGTTGATCAAGGTATTCAACTTCCCTTCAAACCCCATGAAGGCGTTTTCCACCATACTGGTTCTGAGCTTGTTTTAGAGGTGTACTCTGACAGCGATTGGGCATCGCACAAAGGTACTAAAAAATCGGTGGTGCATCAACTTTGTTTTTCCATGGTTGCTTGATTCATTCTTCGAGTCGCAAACAACGGACCATAGCTTTAAGCTCAGCGGAGGCTGAACTGTATAGTGGCGTTTCCGCCACATGCGACGCGATCCTGATCAAGCAGTGCCTTTGTTTTTTGTTTCGTTGTGAACTAGGTGATTTGAAACTGAAACACTTCATGGACAACACAGCTGCGCGTCAAATCATGCGTCGCCAAGGAGTAGGAAAGGTTCGACATTTGTCCACTCGGTGTTTGTGGGCACAAACAAAAGTAAAAGCAGGTGAAGTCCTTTTGAGCACCATTGCCACACGCTGGAACGTGGCAGAGCTTGGAACAAAGAGATTACATAGAGATAGGATGCGCATGTTGATGTACTTGTGCGGAGTCTACGACATGTCTTGCGATGAGCGTGTTGGAAACGATGTTTTTGACAAAGTTCAACCCAGAGAAACATTTTCCAAGCAAATTCGAAATATTCGCGAGTTGGGTTTTTCACACACTGTTTCAAAACAGATCTTACGCGTAGTGCTGGCAATGAGCGCCTTGAGTCCTTCGTACAGTTCAGATCCTGCAGGTGCAAGCTGTGCGTTGAATGGCTACAGGGTTCTTGAGCGAGAGATGCAGAATGAGCAGTCTTGGCCAAGTTTCATTTTCTGCATTTTGTTTCTCTGCCTATACGTGTGCTATGCACTGAGAGACCTTGGGCATTCAAACTTGTGGCCTGGAAGAAAGTGTTTATTTTCTTTTCCTGTTTAGATTTGATTTTCTCGCCCGCATGAAGGTCAGATGGGGGGGTTCCGGAGTCTCACTCACAGCTTCCGCCGACCAAGTGCCGGGCCACTTGGATTTAGGGTGGCAGGGAGTCAAAAGCCGTAGATGTCTCTTCCAGAGCAGCGGCGACGAGGTGAGACGGGGAGCCGGTCCGGGAACTATGTACACTGGAGCAAGCGCGCGTCCTGCGTGAGGTCAGCCAGGACGGCGGGGGCGGCGATAGTCGATTTATCGGTGTGGCCGGTGGCCGTGGCCGCTGGCCGCTGGCCGGTGGCCGGTGGCCGTGGCGGTGCACGCTGGTGGCCGGTGGCCGCTGGCCGGTGGCCGGTGGGTCGTTGGCTGGCCGGTGGCCGGTGGCCGGTGGCCGTGGCCGTGGCGGTGCACGCTGGTGGCCGGTGGCCGTTGGCCGGTGGCCGTTGGCCGGTGGCCGTTGGCCGGTGGCCGGTGGTCGTTGGCCGGTGGCCGGTCGCTGGGAAGATCCATGGATGGGCGGGTACTGCCGGTGGCCGGCGGGCGGAATGATCCATGTGTGGTGTCAGCCAACCCCGTGGTAAGCGCTTTTGCATTGAATTCAAGGGTGATTTCACATTCCTTCTTGCCGCATGGTGGATGGACTAGGCGGTGGCCACCTGATTCATACCCCGGACCCCCGGCCTATCTCTGCTCCTGCATGATGATTGATTGCGTCCTGGGCAGCTTGCTGATAGAAGGTGGGGCTTCAAACTCAGGCGCAAGCAGAAACCAACTATACATAACACGCTTGGCTCGTGTATGCGCGCGCGGCCTGCGCAAGCCATGTACAGATAAGTGGTCGGTCGACCGGCCGACCGGGTCCCTCAGCCAGCGGCCCATTTACCTTTTTTGCAGCTATAATGTTTCGAGTCAATCATCGTGCGCTATCGGCCAGTCGGCGGCGTGGAAGGCATAGGTGCCCTCACATCAGAAGATGCACGGGGCGAAGGAGCCCTCGCGGAAGCATTCGGCGTCTCTTCAGCGCCAGAATTTGCAGGAGGCTTCTGCTCTCCACCAAAGCGGTCATTCCACAAAGCCCGCCGCTTTGAGATGTCCCGGATTCTGAGCCTGCAGCACCTCATGGCTTCGTTGTGGTATTGAGTCTGGTTGCCTGTGTTAGAAGACCAAGCACGGAAGACCACCATAGTGTCACCCGCTCTTCCTCCAGCGGGCTGCAAAATGTAACCAAGACGTGGAAATAGCTCAAAAATGCTCAAAAGCTTTTGTCAAGACTTGCAAAGCCTTGCGACTGGGAGAACAAGTGCAAGCAAGTTAGGGATAGTTAGGGCATATGTAGGCCACAGAAAGCCACAGTGACCAAAGAAAAGAAATGAACAAGCAAATTCTTTTGAAATATCTGAAGAACATTCCCCTGACTGGGCCGGGCTTTCCGTCGCTTGCCCTGGACTTGCTGCACCACATGGTACGAGTCAACCACCTTGGACATTTTGATCTCGCTGCGCCCCAACAGCAGCAGTTTCTGGACAAGCTCGCGGTCTTTGAGAATGCCATCCTGGGAGGAGAGGAGCATCGAGCCGTTGTCGCCCAAGCCTTTCTGGAAGAAAATGTCCTTCGGGTCCAAGTCGGACAGCTTCAGTGGGACAATCTCATGGGGAAGCACCTCGAGCGGGCAAGACACCAAAGAAGAACATGTTCACACGCTTGCGGGATTTTGGCAAGAACATTGGACTGAGGCAAGCGAAAAACGTTGTGCATGGCACAGCGTTCATGTCGGCCCCACCTCCTCATGACATTCGGCTTCTGGGAAAGGCCCAAGAGGCACTGGCACAGGCGTGTGCTCTTCGATGTTTTCCAACGCTGCTACAGCAACCGCTTGCGCGTCTCCACGTGGCCCCTGGCGTTCACCTGGAAGATGAGCAGGAGGTGGTTGCGTAGGCGCAGGAGCAGCGAAAGATTGTTGGGGGGCAAGGCACTTGCACGGGCTGGAAAGGTTCATTGTCGGACTCGTCCGAGCTGGCAGCTGTGGCAGGATCCAATGGGCCCTGCAACACTTCCCGGACTTGAACGCTGAGCTCGACAAGCCGCGCAGCCACTTGTCAAGGGGAGCAACTCTATAGTTTGCTTAGCAAACAGGACTGAACGTTCTAGAAGTTATCTTCCTCAACCCTACAGCCAGTGTCCCTGCAGACAGGGTGCCTGCACATGGTCCTCAGTAATTTCCAAATTTCCATCGGTGTCAAAGGTGCCCCCACCACCAGCCAACTCCAAGATGGCGACACTTGCGCTCAGCATGCCTTGCATGTGAGCAGCGTTTGCGTGCAAGGCCTCCAACGGTGTGCTCTCCTTGCCAGACGCACGGATGGATTGCGCCACTTGGTTTCCTGCGTGTCTGTGAGAAAAACCGGCGCGCCGGCGCGCAAGCGCGCGAATCACAACAAAAAAGAAAGTCCAAAGCTCCCAGGCAAATATGCAGTCAAGGCTCCCAGCAACAGTTTCTGCGCTTCATCTCGGATAGTCAAAACTGAACGCGGCCGCTTCTCGAAGTGCTCACAGACCCTGCGCGCTCCAGCGCAGATGTGTTCTGTCTGGTCCTTGACAAGCCACCGCCCACTAATCCGCCACTCAGTCCGCACCACCACCGTCTCACCTCAGCTGTGGCTGCGGCACACAAGCAACATGAAGGAAACAACCCCACCCCGCACCGGTAGGGTGCGCAGCTGACCGGGAAACGCTTGATTCAATGTAGCTGGAGGCAAAGCTGTTGTCTCTTTGCTCACATGAAAAGAAAAAATGCAACGTGAGCCGAGGAGCCTCTAGAATCGGCTTCTTCGATGTAACGAACTCTCGACCTCACCCCGTCTGGCAACACAGCAGGGTAGCCTTCATCTTCTGAATCGTCCTCTGGCTTCTCGACCCCTTCAAAATGCTTGGGGTTGTTCAGCAAGCTAGTCCACCGGAAGATGGTCGCTTGCAGCGGGGTCAAAGGCAACCAGGTCCAGGCTGGTACATCACCGTTTGTTTCCAAAAGGTCTTTGGGCACTTTATCGTGCCTTGCCGCAGACACATCCACAGCAAAGAGAAACCTTTCCCTTGTAGCTGCAGTGTGTCCACCTTCCAGGCCCCGCTCCATGCTGATGAGCTTTGCTGGATGGCCATTGCCAAGGAGTGACAAGGCAATGTGCTGAGCCCGTGAGCTCTCGTAGGAGGTGGATGTTCTGGGCGCCAGACGTTTTGTCTCGGTCATGGCGGGAACCCAGCAGCCCTATGTTGTCTAGGAACTCGTAGCACTCGTCTAGGTTGAACGCTTGCCCGTACCACAACCTGGAAGTTGTCTTTTCCTTTTTCCCGCCAATCTCCACTTGCGGGAACTCCACGGAGCACCTGTAGAAGAACTCCGTCATCGTGAAGCTCTGCAACGAAATTGACTTGGTGCTGACTTGCATCTCTGACGGCGGTTGATAACCTTCTAGTGGAGGCGCCAGATTGGTGGCGAGCTCATCTGCTGCCTTTTTGGCGAGCTTTGCCACAAAGTCATCAGCAGTTTCAAAAAGGAGTTCAACAGCTTGGAACAAGCGAGATTTTCCTCGTTGAGGGGGCGCCATGTGCAGGACCAGCAACATCAAGGGACTTGGTTTTTGGCTCCAAAGACGCACGCTGGCGCCATTCGACAAGGCAGGCATTGCCCCCGCAAACATCATCACGGTGGAAAACATTCCTTGGCAAGTGGAGGCAGCGATGGGCAGAAGAAACTCGTAAACTTTCTTGGGGAGATGTTCTGCAGCATTGAAGTTGTCCTTCACCACATCTAAAGCAGCCCTCCACAAAGCATCCACTGCCTTGTGACTCAGCTCTTCCGGGCTGTGCGTCGGCATGGTTGGGTGCCCCTGTGAAATGACAGTGTAGGACTGAAGCGCTATCAGTTTACGCGCACATTCAGAACAAATATCATACTGTGTGAGTGTGTGTGCGTTTGCTCTCCTGTTTGCCCAGAACCCGGGAGCGCTGCGACATGAACAAAGAGCAAGGATCTATGCCAGCCGCATGAATCAACATATCAACACAGCCTTTTTTTGAAGCTCGAGGAGCGTAAACGCCAGCCATGATCCTGTCTGCTACATGAAACAGCATGAAAGAAGACAAAGCGCACTGTAGTCTTTTCCCGCCAGCGCAAAAATGCAAACATACTTCACCTACCAGCAGCCTCAGCTGCACTTGCTCGCCTGCGCTTCTTATCTGCGCCCCGCATCTTGTCCTGCAGCGCTTGAAGTCGGACAAGGTTGTGGACATCTGCTAGCTCTTGCAGGGCCAACTGAGAAAACCAAGGCCCGTAGTGGTGGAAACAGTGGCCCAAAGGACTGAATTGTGAGTTCACCGTTTCAGCTATTTCTGTTGGGAAGCCACTCAAAATGTCCTCGTTCTGCTGCAGGCTTGGGGGGCAAACCTCCTTGCACCACCCGCCAGTATACGCCCACTGGCGTGAAACTCATCAATGATAAAGTCAAAGTTGGCCAATCTTTCTGCGAGCGGAGAACCCTCACGCTGCCGCAGGCACATGGCTTTCAGGTGGCAGCTGTCATCGTGAACGATGCATCTCAACGAAGGCAGTCTGTGCGCACATTGCGCAGTGAAGTGGTAACGCTGCGAGAGGGACTCAGCTCCGATAAGCTCCATCACGTCCAGCAGGAGGCCAGACTCTGTGACAGCAAACAAAAATCCAGCAGTCCTTGCTTGCCGCATGGACATCCTTGGCCGATTCCTTGTGGGTGCTGCAGGTGCTAGTCTGCCGAGGTTGAATCGAATGCCAAGGGGCTAAAAAAGTTCTTGCCCGGCGCGGCCGAAATCCTGCCCACTTCTGACTGCGAGCCTCAACTCTCCGCTCCCTTCTTCTCCTGATGTTTCTGTCAGCTTGGGAGGCAAAGTACTTGGCCAAGGCCTCCTCTTTGACTGCGCACGCCGGCTGCCAGCCACCGTGGCCTTGCGTTTGGATTTCCAGGTGACACACATCTCCCTGACTGTGAAGCGCTCTCTTGAGCCGATGTCTCCCCACTTGCTCTGCCCTTGGCTGTTGTGGGCGGTCCCTGTCACCTGCACGCTTGCAGCAAAGAGTGTCTCGACCATGGGGCATTGCGCTGCAGCCTCGCAGCAAAAGTTTGTTCAAGTACGGGGAAGCGATCACTTCTGCAAAAGGCATTCCACACGTGCGTCTGTGGAGCTTGCAGTTCCCGTCAATAGCCAGGATATCCTGCCTGTCTCCTGCAGCTTCCATCTGTGCCCGGCGCCTGGCATCAAGGGCACGTGGCTAATGACATGACACAAACTGCGGCGCTATCACTACGAAACAGAGAGGGAGCAGGGGCCCATTGAAAGCAAGGAGAAGAGTGGGTGAACGTGCCATTATAGAACATAAAGCAGAGGTGGCAGCCCCGCCTTGCAAACATCAGTGGCTCGTACCAAGCCCAATTGGTTGCAATCAGCGTCTCAATGGACGCATTCAAGACACCCTTGCGCAAGCCATCAGACACGGCGGCACCAGCTTCAACAGCTCGCCGGCAGAAGATCTCCCGCGCCCAACCGTCTCGAAGCTGATGGCGGATGTGGTAGCGGACGTTGGTGTTTGTAAGTCGCAGCAGCACCCCTTCTCCCTGAAAGCTGGCTCTGTTCGTCTGAAACTGTTTGTTTCGCCATGTCTCAGGCAGTACTTTTCTAAGCCAGGTTTCCCGCCCCATTGATGGCGCTTGTTCAGCTGAACTGGCGAACGTTGTGCGCAGGTAGTCTTAAGATGTACTCTGCTACCTACAAGAAACTTGCGCTTTGCGCGGTGCAACCCGCTCTACGCGGATCTGCCCGCTTGACAACACTGCGGAACTCCCCGCAAAACAAAAACTGTCCCAAAACCATTTGGATACGGTAAAGCCAGATCAATTTTTGCTCCCTTTGGAACCTGCCTTGTCTTGGGCTTTTGATTTGGGATCCGCTTTGGCTTTTGCTCCTCCGCATCACTTTGCGCTTTTCTTGTCTGCGGCACGCCTTTCCCATCTTCTTTGTCAGCCTTTGTGTGTGATTCTTTTGGCGCGGTTTTTGGCGGATCTGTATTCCCGCTTTGGTTTGGCGCGTCTCCGGGTTTCCGGTGAATTGTGGCTGTTCTTGCTGCTGCTACCTCAGGCACAGGGATGGCCGCAGGAATATTGGGAGGACTTGGGCTCTCCCACACGCGCCTCCACGGCAGTTGAGCTCACCGCTGCTTTAGTGGGTTTTGTATTTTTGTCATTTTCGCCACCTTTGGCCACTCTCGCCATTGCTGGTGTCCTTTGCTTCAGCCTCAGCTTTGGAGTCAATGGTGGCAGCGCCCATTGCTGCCACTGGCTCTTCTGGGCTTGTGGCCCTTGTGGTCTCTACTTTTTGGTCCTTGTCGTTGTGCTCTGCCTAGTCAGTTTCCCCAATTTCATTGGGCTTTGTCAGTTTCCTGGGCTTTGGCTTTGGCAGCGGCCTCTGGCTTAGGCGCCTCGGGCCTCAATGCCTTTATCTACATCTGACACGGCAGCAAGCTCATCCTCAGCGTCACTCTTCGCCAGCTTGTCAGACTTGTAGGCAGGCCGCTGGAGCTCTGCGCGTAAGACAGGCAGGCCATGCCCAGGCAACCTGAAGTACTTCAAGAATTCTGACCTGGGAATTGTCACCTTTGTGCGCTTTTGGGGCAGCTGTCCTCTCAACTCTGGAAACGATGAAAAATTGATTGAATTCGTTGAATTCCAATGAAATTTGATGAATTCTAATGAAATTTGATAGAACTCAATGAAATTTGCACAAATTTGATGAATTTTCTTGCAGAAAATCAAAATTTAGAAAAATCTATAAAAACAAATCAAAATATTCGCTTGTTTTACGAAAATGTTCACCCAAAAACTTGGAAAATTGAAAAACTACCCCGAGCCCTCCCTGACCTCCCCGACCCGCCCCCGACCCGCCCGACTCACCCCGACCCAAGTCGAGTCAAAAAGATACAGGGGCATGAGATCCCAATAGTTGGATTGAATTCCCATTGCTTTTCTGGTGATTTTTTAAAAACTAGTTGTGTTTTCGTTTTTCGTGTGATTTCACTTTTTTGCTAGGATTTCAATTGATTTCAGGCTTTCAATTGATTTCAACAACTAGACGACGGTTGGCCCGAGAGCGAGACATGTAATTGTCCAGCACTGTCGAAAAGATGTATAGAAAGAGAGAAAGAGAGGGTGGATGTGAAGGAGTGACAGTGTGGATGCGCAGGTGCGATATAGATCTGTAGATGTATGGAGGTGGAGAGGTAGATCTGTGGATGTGAGCGTGCGAAGATGTAAATGCACAGAGACGAGAGAAAAGATATGTAGAAAGAAAAACAGGACAGATGTGAAGGAGCGACAGTGTGGATGTACAGATGTGATATAGATGTGCAGACGTGTGGGTGTGGTGAGGTGGAGAGGTAGATCTGCGGATGTGAGCGTGTGAAGATGTAAATGTAGAGAGGTGAGGGGGTGTAGACGTAGATGCGTCGATGCAACGGCAGCGCAACGTCAACCTCAGTTGCGCAAGTACAACGCTGAAGAGGTTCAAACAGAACTGCCTGAGAGTAAGCGACGTCACGATCATGACAAGCGACTCGTGTATTCGTTTGTCATGAAGGTGAAGTACACACATACTAACGCCACCATGACTCTTTTGTGGCAGCCACTTATGAGTAAGCAAAGTAGCAAAAAATTGTCAACCTCTCAAGAGAGCCGGGTGGTCGGGAGACATGACTCAGCTGCAGGGGCGCCAGAGCAGCCGCGAGAGATGACTCAGCCGCGGGAGATGACTCATCCGCGTACTAAAGTTGTACTACAAAGTCGCCAGTTCTCATCTTCCAGCTCCCCAGATACTCCGCGTACTAAAGTTGTACTAGAAAGTCGCCAGTTCTCATCTTCCAGCTCCCCAGATACTCCACGTACTAAAGTTGTACTGCAAAGTCGCCAGTTCTCAGCTTCCAGCTCCACAGATTGCTCCGCGTACTAAAGTTGTACTACAAAGTCGCCAGTTCTCATCTTCCAGCTCCCCAGATACTCCGCGTACTAAAGTTGCACTAGAAAGACGCCAGCTCTCATCGTCCAGCTCCCCAGATACTCCGCGGACTCAAGTTGTACTACAAAGTCGCCAGTTCTCATCAGCTCCACAGATTGCTCCGTGTACTAAAGTTGTACTACAAAGTCGACACGCACAATCTCCGCAGAGGGTTGCCCGCGCCAAATCCAAAACGCACTCTCGCCTGCATTTCGCGCGCTCGACACGCATGATCTCCGCAGAGGGTATAGCGCCGGACCGGGCCAAATCGCACTCTCGCCTGCATTTCGCGCCCTCGACACGCGCGATCTCCGCAGAGGGTTGCGCCGGACCGGGTCAAATCGCACTCTCGCCTGCATGTCGCGCCCTCGACACGCACGATCTCCACAGAGGGTTGCGCCGGACCGGGCCAAAATGCACTCTCGCCTGCATTTCGCGCCCTCAACACGCACGATCTCCGCAGTGGGTTGCGTTTCGTGGTTCTCCGGCGGCACCGCCCCCGGCCTTAAGAGAGAAAGTAAAGAAGAGCGAGAGATGCAGCTGTGAGATGTAGATGTGAGGATGTGAAGATGAGCAGAGATGATGTGAGGATGTGAAGATGAGCAGAGATGTAGATGTGCAGATGTGAACATGAGCAGAGATGTAGATATGCGAAGATGAAGATGAGCAGAGATGTAGATGTCAGGATGTGAAGATGAGCCGAGATGTAGATGTGCAGATGTTTAATGTAGATGTGAAGATGAGCAAAGACATAGGTGAGAATGTAGATGTGCAGAGGTGAAGATGTGAAGACGTAGATGAGACGTAGTTCTGCAGATGTTTTTTACGAAGAACCCTTCGCAGACGCTCTTGGGAAAAACGCATAGAAAACCCATAAAAACTACAAAAACTTTAACTAGACGACGAGTGGCCCGAAAGCATTTTTCATCACGTAGGAAGTCAGAGTGTGAGTTATCTGTTAAGTGTTCAGTGTGAAGTGTTAAGTCGAGTGAGTTGAGGCAGTGTGTGGGTCTCTGTGTGTGTGTATCTATGTCTGTGTGTGTGTGAGTCTCTGTCTGTGTGTGTGTCTCCGAGTAAGTTGAGGCAGTGCGTGGGTCTCTGTGTGTGTGCGTCAACCTTTCAAGAGAGCCGGGTGGTCGGGAGACATGACTCAGCAGCAGGGGCGCCAGAGCAGCTGCGAGAGATGACTCAGCCGCGAGAGATGACTCATCCGCGTACTAAAGTTGTACTACAAAGTCGCCAGTTCTCATCTTCCAGCTCCCCAGATACTCCGCGTACTAAAGTTGCACTACAAAGTCGCCAGTTCTCATCTTCCAGCTCTCCAGATACTCCGCGTACTAAAGTTGTACTACAAAGTCGCCAGTTCTCAGGTTCCAGCTCCACAGATTGCTCCACGTACTACAGTTGTACTACAATGTCACCAGTTCTCATCTTCCAGCTCCCCATATACTCCGCGTACTAAAGTTGTACTACAACTTCGCCAGTTCTCATCTTCCAGCTCCCCAGATACTCCGCGTACTAAAGTTGCACTACAAAGTCGCCAGTTCCCAGCTTCCAGCTCCACAGATTGCTCCGCGTACTAAAGTTGTACTACAAAGTCGCCAGTTCTCATCTTCCAGCTCCCCAGATACTCCGCGTACTAAAGTTGTACTACAAAGTCGCCAGTTCTCA